GTGCTGTGATAATCATTGATCACCCATTTTCTCGGTATTGGGCAAGTTTTTTGCTTGGAAACTTTTTGGTAGTATTGTAGCTATATATGACTTTCAAATAAACCACAAACCAAGTAGCTACTTCCCACATGGGTGCCACGAAACGAAATAATTTTGGCCAACGGCCTATATATATGCGGGATTATATGCGTGCAAAGCGGAATTTTTCTTTGGCTTTTTTTATTAATTCCACCCGAAAGATCACCATGCAGACATAGAAAATTTCCGTCTAGTGGAAAACCGGCTTAAGATAGTTTGGGAAGGTGACTTATTCGGTCAATTTGAATTTTCTTTACAACGCAATCATAAAAAATGGTGAAAAATTTCGTTGCATGAGCAGTTTAAATTTAGTAGTTGAGAAATAAGAATATTTAGTGCACGAATATATATTGAGATAAGGTCTAGACAATATGGAAAACTTCAATTTCTGACGGTTGAAAATAGTGAGTTCCTGCCAGGATGGTGTTTGCGTGGCTGACACCAGATGGAACTTGGTATAGGAATAAAATTTCGTGTATGAAACTTTATTCGAAGCCGCATCACTAGATATATGTATATCCCAACCTCCTCCAAATGTTGGTGCACAACTATTTTCTGTTGCAATTGCGAACGGAGTATTTTGATTTTTCAGTGGGGCTTTAAAAGGTGGGAGATTTTCTTTGTTACGAAGAGAGAATATGAAGGATCCTGGAGCTTGTTTCTTGCCGCTACCTGTTATAACGTAGAAATAATGTTTTGACATATTTAATCAGATTTATAAATTGAGTATCGACACAGTAGTTTGAAAAATTTCATATTGAGTATCGACACGAATTTGAAAAATTTCAAGTATATATTTAGCATGCATTTATATTGCATTTAAGCATGCCACACACGAGAGCATTTGGTTGGGCTAGCCTTCACGCTAGACTTGGTTCAAATCCGTCTCTCAAAGGGTTGAAAATAGCGATGCACTCGAGCGGTCAAGAAAGGCGCGAAAATACCTTCACGCGTGTCGGTTAGCTCATCTCTATATATGTTTATCGCAATCATAAAGTAAAATGCTGAGCTAATATTTTATTTCGCTCTAAATTTCAAAATAGTGGCATGTATAGAACGTGAGAAAAATATGTGCTTCCATTGGCTGCTATATATATTCACAGCTGAGCTTATAACTTACAACGTCCACACACATGACTTTTGCCTCGCGTGGACAGAATAACAAACACGATAGAATTTTTCCTCACGGTCTCTCGCGTCAAAATCTGCTGCAGTAAAAACAATATATTGCCACGCGTGGCGATTAGCTCAGCCAAAAGCTCTTGTGTGCGGTATAGGTTTTATCTAGTATCTTTCATTTAAATAATTTGTCACAACCACTTATGAGTGTGGTAAAAGGAGAGTACTGCGGATTACGTTTCACGGAAAATAGATCCGTAATTTCACGATTTACGAAGAAAAACATGCGTTTCACGGAAAATTACTAAGACGCTGTTGCTGAAATGTTTCTTTCGCTTATACCCACTAAACGACGTATAGGTATTGTACAGTTTATGTATTCTAGTGGGAGCAAGATCAAGTAATGTCCATTAGTTTGCTAATTTTCACCTTTTCTCGATGATAAACAACTTTAATGAAATGGTCTCTCCTAAAATTTTCTAATCACCTTTCGCGGGATATTTCTAAATCACCTTTCACGGGACAAATACTTAAGAGTGAGTGTCCGTAAATCTCGAGAATTGGGCGACAAATTGGAAAATTCGAAATTCCTTTTATTTTACCCATAGTATCCACTGAGTGAGCTATTTTGAAAAATATAGTTCAAAAGTCGCAGCTCCTCTTATTTTTCGTGAAATTACCTAAACATGATTTTGGGACTTTTAAGTCAATTTTCATCAGTCAAAATACAGGATTTTAAAGCGTTCGTGACGACTACCCTTCAAACATATTACGACCATTTTTTAGTATAATCTAAGACCATCTCTATATTTTGTCTTAGCATCAAAATCTTTTTTTATTCCAAAATCTTTCTTGACATTTAAAGCTAGCTAATATTTGGTGTTTACGGTTCACAACAGAAAGGCAAATTTTTGTCAATTTCAATGTGTTCAAATGGACCGTGGTACATGACAAATTGCAACGAAAATAAGACTAACTTGCAAAGTAGCCATCTGTTTATAACATATTAAAAAATCTCTGGCGGCAAGCAAAACCCGCACCAGTGAGAAGTCAAAATGTTGATGCTATTTTTAGATTTTGCCTGACAACACGTTTGTACATTACAACGGTAATTACAGTGACAGTTTTGTCGCATTTCATTAACAAAAGAACGCGGAATAACGAAAACAACGCTATTAATTTTTAAGACAAACTTTAAAAGAGTACACTAGAGATCTGAGTGATGAATGCGTTTTTTAAGTTCATGCAAGGGGGTATTTTATTTGAGATCAATCGATAATAGAGGCCAGCTAGTACAAACGCGTCACATTAAACCAGTCAATCTATAATTTTGTTAACGAAACTAAAATTGGCAATTCACAAAACCAATTTTAATTAGTAACCAGTTTTAATTTGTTTATTTACTATGCCAGGGGGATGAAGATGTCTTCAAAAAGGGGCATATTTTTTCGGGGCCCTGTTGGAGTTATCGCAATATTTTCGACGATCCCCCCCCAAAGGATACTTCAAAATTCCAATGCCGCCCAGAAATCAGAACCCAAGGACCAAGGAGTTGAGGTATTTTTATGCTCAGCATTAAACTAGTTGACAAGGACACACTTTTCTTCCACAGTCAGAAGGGCAGATGAGAAATTTGTTTAGGTTAGTGACTTTATTGCAGGCGCCACGCCATGGTTAGTCAGAAACAGCGTTTTCAGAGTCTCATGTACACACCTTTTAGTAGGGTCATGATGAATTATCATGATGAGGCCCCGCCTCACCAAAACATTGAAATATTTATATCCTCCCTTCTGTATATACAGAGAACTTTTAGAGCCCCGCCCCTTAATGCCTGAAAATATTTTGGTGCCCCCTTAACATCTTCATACCTCCTCGGTATGAGTGTTCCCTAAACAATAAAACTCTTTTACATTTAAACTTTACTAATGCGACGCTATTTTGCTTTAAGACATCGTACGTTAAAACTATATCATTGTTTGGAGCGCTAACTTGATTCGTCAAGTTTTGGGAAAATATAACTAAATTTGTGACTTACTGGTTAAGGGTATAGTCAATAGAAATGTACAGTACAGTTTTCGTTCATCTGTAGCAGTCAGCCAGTGTTACAGGAGCATCCGGAAACAGCACTTTCTAGGAGCTTGATGTAAGGTAACTTTGTGTTCTTCTTCTTGCCAGACATTTCTGGAACATCGAGGTTAAGTTCTTCGCATAGGCGTTGAAGCATATCCATTTTCAATTTTTTCAGAGTACTACTTTTCACCATATCACATACATTATATTGATCAAAAACGATAGGGTGTTGTAGTTGCAACGATGACAAAACTTTGTTTCTCATTTCATGAAAATTATCCTCTTCTACAGCAGCCACAGCATCTGCTTCCGTTATAGTGATCTTTTGCTGTCGGACCGTTGCAGCCATGCGAGAAAAGAATGAGAAAACTTGTTCAACAGAAAGAAACTCCGTGACACCGAATAGCTGGTGACCATCCTCCTTGCGCGCATGCCTCATTTCTTTCGATACAACGTCCGCTTTCATTTTCCGTCCTGTCTCTTGGCCGATGTTGAACTTAGAGGTTAGGTAGCTTTTTTGCTTTTCGTTGAAACGATAACTTTTTGTCGATTCTTTGAGTGCCCACCCCTCCTGGGCAACAGGATAGGAATCGGCAACGACAGTGCTGCAAGAAGTGCTTATGGATGGAATCGCGCAAACATCTTCCTTTAAAAGGGATGCATATTTTTCTTTTGCAACATCCAACATGGTCTGCTTTTCAAGAATGCTGGTGCAGGATTCCAAAGAAAGATGTTTTTCTAGTGCAGAAGATCTCTGGAAAACACGAGTTCATCCTTCTTGAGGACAAGAGTAGATTGGTGATTCACTCTCTTCTGCCTCCTCTTCTTGTACGGCCTTTTCGAATTCAGTAGTCACAGGTTGCTGGTTTCGCTTTGTGTCTTCGGCTGTTGATTTAACGAGTTTAAAATTTCCAGATTAAAACCCGACAGTGATCCAATTAATGGTTATATCTACAACAATAAGATAGAATATAATTACTCTACGAACTACGAACAGATGATGTGTTCTGACTTTGGTGCCCTAAGTATTAACGGTGGCTGCATAATGCAATTTTCTCCCTCTATGAAAGGCACTCACTTTATACGGCAATTTGTCGTAGGACTAATGCGAAATTAAAGATAATTGTAGTGGCTTTAATAGATTTTTGTCGGATGATACCTTTACATTTGCCCAAACTAACTTTTTCGCCCATACTTTTTAGTGTCCACCATGACTATTGCCACACCCATTACCCCAGGGAATGTGTTAGAAAACCATACACGCAGGGCCGCAGAGACGGGTGCAGGGGGGGGGGCAGATTGCCCCGGGCCCCGAGGTGCTGGGGGCCCCTGAAAATTTTATGTTGGGCCCCAGTCTTTTTTGTGTGTTAAATATTTCCGCGCAAAGGACAAGATATCTGTTTTTGGGCTAAGTACCGAAATTTGGCATAAAAAAATGAGATAAAGTCCCTGGAAAGCATTTGCAACGTACGCGTCCGGAAATTTTTTTTACCTAAAAAGTTGTAGACGGGGGGGGGATGCTTGTTCTCCTGAAAAAATTTTTCCGGAAAAATTTTTTAGATAGGAGCCCCTAAAAAAAAATTTGCCCTGGGCCCCCGCCAACCTCTCGGCGGCCCGGCATACACGGTTACCTTGGATCTTCGATAAACTTATTCTTTTTCCTTTTCCAACATCATAAGCTCGCCATGTAACAATATTTCTTCCTTTGAACTCAAAGTTGTTCAGTTTACTTATTCCAGGGATTTTATCTAGCTGAGCGACGAAAGAATCATCGATGTACGGTACTACAGTCACTCTTACTCCCTCGACACCACCATGTGATAACAGGGCATTTTTCATTTCTTCAGCATTTGTAACGTCGTTACCCTCGTTTACAAACAATCCGATATGGCACTTGCAAGTAGCGGCAAGACGGTCAGCTGACCCTTTCCCCCCTTGGGGATCGCTGAAATCAATCCTTGAAATCTTTATTCCTGTTGTCTTGGCGATGTGATGGCATGCAAGAATTGTGCTGGCTGAGTGATAACATCCGGCATTGTCTTGGCGGAAAAATGCTCTCTTTAATTTCGGATTCTCGGTTTCCAAGGTCTTTCGGACATACTGCATGATTAACACAATGGCAGCACTGTCCTGGCTACAAAATTCAATGATATGAATGAAGCCTCGAGACTCTAATTGGCCATTCGCTTTTCGAAAAACGACAGAGATATGCCAGGAGATTTCCTTTTTCCCGAACCAATCTGACTGTGATACGCGGTATTGATGGGGAAGGAACTTCATTGCCCAGTCATTCACTATGTACACTGTCTTCTCGTCTTTTAGGAGATTAATCACGTCTAGTCTGGCTTGGTCTTTGCGAACGCTCCGAAGTTGATGGCCTTTCCACAAGTTGATGGCTCTCACTGCAGATGTGAATAGATACAGGGTTTCGTCTCTTTCTTCCTCCGAGGAAAAAGTGCACTCGTCGATTGCTTGTTCTATATTCTTTAGCGTTAAATCAAGACTTTCACACTGCTCGCAGCTTTCGTCATGTTTATGTTTCCACTTGTATTTGAAATCTTTATCTGTGATCTCGCTTAACGCGTACATATAGCAATGGTCAGGGACACGAGCGTTGTCACTGACGTGCACCTTAAAATAGAACGCAAAAATGAGAACTGAAACATGGCACATAAAACAAATGCCCGACAATGTACTCTACTGTACTGTAAAGTGCCTACTGCATTAAGGAAAAATTACGTTGAGATATAATATTAATATTAATATAATAAATTTCATACCAGGTTTGTAAAATATATAAATACGAAGAACATACTTAATGGTTTTGCCTTGTTTAATTGGTTTGTTACCTTGTAATCTCCTTTTAGATAAAGCTTTCACACTTTCAAAGCCTCTTGCACTTCTGCTGCCCAATTTTCGCCGTCTTTCTTTAAAGGTGAGATAGTCAGCACAACGGTGCCCAAGTCATCAAAGGACCGCCCTCCTTGAGCAGCAAAGTTGTCGAGACCTTGAAGAGATTGACGTTGGGTTGCACTACATTCGTCTATTACTCTTAACATTGTGCTCTTACTGAAAGATTGAAAATTGTTTTCTTTGCAGTACTGAGAGTATTGGTTCACAATTCTTTGAGGTATCATGGCACGGAAGATGTTCGGTACTTTAATTGTTTTACCTGAGGACATCTTCAATTCTTTTTCGCCAAACGGCAAGCCTTTCACTAAATGGGGGCTTGTTATAAAGCTCAGAAAATGGTCAAGCTGTTGCTGACATATACGAAGGCGAGGCGATGTCTTTAACGGAACTGGAACGCACCTTCCATACTGAAGTCGATGAAGATTAGCCATAGTAAAACGGTAGTGTGTGAGACCAGGAATATATTCTGAAATGACATTAAAATTAGCCGCATCGGACATGGTAGATAAGACTTGGCACCGAGTATCCCAGCTATCTGCAGTTTTATACGCTTCGGCTAAGGCTTCTAAATAAGCTTTTTCTGCTGGCTGATGGCTTAATCCAAATGCTTTGTTCATCCTTCCGGAAGTTTGAAGCCCTTTCCAAAGATGTGCGGCATTAGTGGATGAAATATCATTTAACACTGACGAGATAATTTCACATGTTTTTTGGATGTATCGTTCTTGTGTGCGCTCTGATGTCTGGTCCCAATCTGACATTGGTCTTTTCAAAGGATGAATATTACAGGCTTCCAAATATTCGTTTAGCTTTTTTCTTCTAGCAACCAATGAAGAAGAAACATCGGTGACGTCACAAGATGATGATGTAGTACTTGCAGTGTCTGGAGAGAAGATGCTCCACCTGGTCTCGTTAAGTATACAATGAGTCATTTCTTCAACAAGTTCATCTGACGTACCAGTATTACTGTCTTCCTAATAAAGAAAAGAAGCTGTTAAAATGTAGTGCATGGATCATGGCTCGTCATAAAGTTAAAATTGTTTCTTATTACCGGCTGTTCTGCGTTAATCTGCGGCAGAGATGTTGATAATTCTAAGCAGTTACTTGATTCGTCGTCAGTTGACACTAAATTACTAGTTCTCCATTCTGTTGCCAGATGAGCTAAATGTTCTTTACAGCTCCTGCATATCCCTAAAACAAGCAAAAAGTTAACGTATACAGTATACTGCATATCCTGTAAAATAAAGGCATTGCTGCTAAAAGTTTAGTAAGTAAATTCTTCATTCTACAAAAAAAACGTAGAAATTCAGTTAAAAACAAAACCTGCGCTACTTGTGCATGCATAGTAAAATATCCTCATACTTCTCTCACGTTTCCTGCCGACCTTATACGCAGGAAATATATGTATATTGAATAAATTAACCTCGTACCTGTTCCCACAGGAATAAGTATCTTGGTCTTGTTAAAAATAAAAGATGATAATAAAGTTGTCAGTCCACATTGAGCTTTGACGGATAAAGATTTATGTGCTGCAAGGTCATTTCGAATCGAGCATCTGGTCTTGTTGCACCTCCAGCGAATGTCATACAAATCTCGATGTAAAGGACACACTGTCATCTTCATGTATGACTCGTCGATTTCAAAAATTCCTAAAGAATACCGATACGTTTTAGTTACAATCTTTAAAATTTGCAAACAGTAAGTCAACAAAGTCAAAGGATGAAAAATAAACATGAAATTCGGTGACGTTGCCTGCACGAGCAAGAAGTAACATTGATTCACTTCCAGACAGGCCACAATCGTTACTAATTTTATATTGTGAGCAATGGTTTAAAATGTCCTTATTACAATCCTTGATTGTTACGCATTCTACAATAGAAGGATTGTACGAACTAGGTCCACACTGACCGCCAACTAGTGTTGCATAGTAACACGATGCCATCCTACAGTTTCCTTCATGTTTGCATGTTACATTACTGTTTTTAACTTTCTCCAACAGTAATATTGTTGTTGTATTCTTCACTCTGCGCTGCATCTTTGAAATGCGACAAAACTGTCACATTGTCACTGCATGTAATTACCGGTGTAATGTACAATTATGATGCACCGACATCTAAAAATAACATCAACATTTTGACTTCTCACTGGTGCGGGTTTTGCTTCCCCAAGAGATTTTTTAATAGGTTATAAACAGATGGCTACTTTGCAATCTTATTTTCATTGCAATTTGTCATGTACCACGGTTCATTTGGGCACATTGAAATTGACAAAAAATGGCCTTTCTGTTGTGAGCCGTAAACACCATATATTTGCTACTTTTAAATGTGAAGAAAGACTTCGCAATCAAAAAAGATTTTGCTAGTAAAACAAAATATAGAGATGTACTTCGATTATATTAAAAAAACCGGCCGTAATACATTTAAAAGGTAGCCGTCACGAATGCTTCAAAATCTTGTATTTTGACCGACGAAAATTGACTTAAAAGCCCCAAAATGCGACTTTTGAACTATATTTTTTAAAATAGCTCACCCAGTGGATACTATAGGTAAAATAAATGGAATTTCGAATTTTCCAATTTGTCGTCCGATTCTCGAGATTTACGGACACTCGCTCTTAAAGTCTCCTCCTGGAGGCAGATAATACATTTTTGCCCCTCTACATTTTACCACACGGGCAAGCTAATACTTTTTCGTATAGAATATCCGAAACCAGTTTACCAGTTGCGTAGGAACATATTTAACCTTACGGGGGCTGAAACCCATATAAAGGGTCTAAATATTCCAGGAGATGGCTCCTACTTGCTGTAATTTAATTCTGATATAACCCAACAACTATATACGTTGCATTCAACTTCAACCTAGAATAATTATATTCAACAACAATAATTATATTCATATTCAACAATAAACACATATGAAATATATTTATTCAACTCCAACCTAAAATAATTATATTCAACAACAATAATTATATTTATATTCAACAATAAACACATATGAAATATACTTATTCAACTTCAACTATGAACATATTCATATTCAACACGAAAAGTTTACATTCTTATTCAATGTTGAATATATAAATGCGAAATTCTGTTGAATATATAAATGCGAAAAGTGTTGAATATATAAATGCGAAAAGTGTTGAATATATAAATGCGAAAAGTGTTGAATATATAAATACGAAAAGTGTTGAATATAAATACAAAAAGTGTGTCCGGGAACTTAAATTCCCGGATGCAACAAATCCAAAACCAGTCTCCCCAAATGCGTTGCGTGGTTAACCGAAGGCTGTTAAAGATTTTATTAACATCACTAGCACCATTTACATGGCTTGTCAGGGGAATCCGGCTGCCCGGGGCAAATTTTAATTTTGGGGCCCCTATTTTCCCCCAAAATATTGGTGAGCGGGAGGGGAGGGGGGAGGGTTTAACAATTTTGTTTCCGGACATTAAAAAAATAGTCAAAAACTTTTTCCGTACAATCAGCAGTTAAATTAGGGTTAATTCCTGTTAAAACATGGTAAAACCCTTTTAATTTTTACCAACATCTGTAAAATTTAGGTCTAAAAATTTTATCTCATACCATTATATATTTAAATAAAAAAACGTTCCAAATTATTTTTTGTAATTTTGCAAATTTTGGGGCTCCCTTAAACTGGAAGCCCCCTTTGCCTCCCTCCCCTCTCTGAAAGGCCCTGCTCATTTACTTATTTTTTAACCAATATAACTCACTTTTTAGACAATATTGACATCACTAAAATTTTCTTCTGGCCTAATGAAAATTTTCCTGTGTATTTCAACACGGTTTCATAGTTTACACCATTAACATTATTATTTACAGGGGAAAAATAGCTAAACATGATAGCGTCCATATAAACTTCTGCCGCCTTCCACGAAATTCAGTGATCTTTTAGCATTTAATATAACAGTTTGCTGCAAATTTCGAAATTTTCTGAACCCTATGATTTTCTGGACTCATGATCGCTTTTTGGAGCCTCGCCTTTTTTAACTTTTGGGCCTTGCGGTTTTTTTAGTTTGAGGTTTTGCCTTTGGGGGCCTTAGACTCTTTAGGGCCCCGTGCTGTTTGGATCCCGCGCTAAAACGGAACAAAAAGATTGTTTGGGCCCCCGCACTTTGGGCCCTCGATTTTTAAATCTTGGGGCGTATAACGTTTTCTGGGGACCTTGGGCTCTTTGGGGCCCCGCGCTGAAACACTAAAACAGGGAACAAAAAGAAAACATATGGGGCCGATATTTTGGGGCCTCGAGTTTTCTGGGGGACTTGGGCTCTTTGAGGCACCGCACTGGCGCGCTGTTTGGACCCCGCGCTGAAACAGGGAACAAAAAATAGAAGAGAGAAGCGCGGGGCCCGTGGCATTTGCCGTTTCTGCTATATGGTTAATCCGGCACTGAGGTGATGTAGATTTATAGTTAAATCAGCTTACGGCTTCATGCAACGAGAAATAGTGAAGACTATATTGCTGCTTCCTTGTTGGCTTCATTAATAAAAAATGTGTTAAATAAACAATTTTTTGAGATTGGAGATTTGACCAGCCTGAATTGGTCGGTCACATGTCCACTCGTAAAAAGTTTTGATCTGAGAAAATGTAAAATTTGGCCGGAAAATTTCCGATGACCGGGCACTAATTTGCAGGCCTGATTACCGAATCAACTGAATCGGTTGTCAGTCATAGATAGTTACGGTCCTGATATGCTCTATATATATATAAACTCATTTTCAATCTATATGTTATTGATGTTATTAAATGTTTTACAGCATGTACATACTGTGCAGCTTGTACATGTATCACAAGTAATGTAAAGTTACTATCTCGAAATGAGCCATACTAGCTATTAAACTGCCCGTGCTCAATAAGTTTCACTTGGCTTTCTCATGAAGTTGCACAAATTTTTTTTTCATTCCACAAGTGCTTGCAGGAATTTTTTTCTAGTCGAATTCCTTGCATTATTTTTTTTTTGATCTTCCACCCCTCTCCCCCCCTTCCCAGTATATATAATGGCCCACTCCTAATACGAGTCGGCTCTTCAATTAGTTGACGTAGGTTATAAAGATTGGTAATATTAGTCAATAAAGTTAGTGAATTATGATCTAATGATCTACAGTGGTTGCTTTTAAATTATAGCCCAGGTCACCCATTGCATAATATTCAACGTTTTGCGCATCTAGTTGCCAATTAGTTTCTCAAAATAGTTGAATTTGTCTACACCCGAGTAAGGTGGTCTATACCATGTTGTATAATGAGAAAAAGACTTTGAGCTGGGTTTGCGGATTTCAATGCACTGAATTCTTAGTTTGGTCAATGCATGAACAGGTCGGGTCGCGGTAAAAAATGTATCGTTAACCGAACGTAAAAACAAACTACCCCACCATGTTTACCATTGACGCCTCTATCACGACGAACTGTTTCATACCCAGCAAGCCTTGTCTCATTTATGGCCAGCCTAGTCCCAGTCGTTCTGAAGCAAGCGCGAGAAAAAAACGTGCATATAGTGCGAGACTAGGACCTAGGTGTGACGTCACCACTAAAGGTGTTTCAGAACGCCTAGCAGATTTCAGTATTTTTAATATGGCGAAAATTTAAATAATTTTACAAATAACCTTGTAAATACGACAATGTTCGTTGATCATGTTCGATGTCTACATAACCAAATTCATACTGTATTAAAAATGTGCTCAACTAAAAAAGAAATATATACAAATTTACGATACTGAGTCTGAGCAATGGTCGTATATTCGTTGATGTTATTTATATACTCTAAAGTTGTGATCAACACTGGACCATACTGGTATACAAAACTACGCTTTCTACTTGACAGGTTTAATATAAGTAGCTGAGGAGATTGGAAATATTTGCCTGACATGACTGTGTTGTCAAAACATTTTTAGACGGAGACTCGGCATAATTTTCAAGCTTCTAGATAGCATTTAATATGGCTTATATTTTAGTAAACACGAGTCATATTTAGCCCCGTTATTCCTTTCTGACCGTATGGTAGCGAAACGTAGCCTATTTCATTGTTCCGACAACATTAGAGCGAAACTAATGACTTAATTATAAACGCAAAAGAAATTTCCATAACATTTTCTCTTTACAAACGCGGCATGCTTGGTAACCAGGCCAGGGACCACTTTTTTTAAATCAGGGACCATTTTACCGAAATCTGCTTGGCTCTCTCGCTGAAGTGTTCCGCACAGGACACCCAGGCATAAAACTTTTAAGACTTATTTAAATATACCAAAGCAGCGAATAGAGAGAGAGCCTGGGACTAGGCTGATTTATGGCTAAAACGTCGACCGGGCTGCTGACAAGAATACTCGAAGTTCGTCGATATGCTTGACTAGACTGGGAATATTCAGTCAGTAAGGCCAATTTGAAGCCTCGCATACCTACAGTGGCGTAACTGAAGGGTGTCCGAGTTATAGAGGGCCCGAAATTTGCAATGGGTGGCGCGCAAAGCAGGAATTAGTGAAATTTGGACCTTTTTTATTAGATAAGGATTGGCAAAAAAATTTTGTCATTATTTTTTTAATTGTCATAGTCTGCCCCGGGCTCCCAGCTTAAGGGAGCCCCAAAATTTGCAAAATTACAAAAAATAATTTGGAACGTTTTTTTATATAAATATATAATGGTATGAGAAAAAATTTCTAAACCTAAATTTTACAGATGTTGGTAAAAAAGGGTTTTACCCATGTTTTAACAGGAATTTGTCCGGGAAAAAAATTTCTAACCCTAATTTAACCGCTGTTTGTCCGGAAAATTTTTTTGTCTATTTTTTTAATGACGGGAAAAATTGTTAATCCCCCTTCTCCCCCACCCGCTCACCAATATTTTTGGGGAAAATAGGGCGCCTGGCCCCGAATTTGCGCCTGGCCCCAAATTTCTATGATAGGCCATGTAAATGAGTGCTAGTGATGTTAGTAAAGTCTTTTAAACAGCCTTCGGTTAACCGCGCAACGCATTTAACCGAAGGCTGTTTAAAAGACTTTACTAACATCGCTAGCACTCATTTACA